AGTTGTATGTAATGTAATGTAATGCTGCACTGTTCTGTATAAAGTAGTATGTTCATTATGTCAACAGTTGTTATGCCCTAATGTAATGTAATGCTGTACTGTTCTGTATAAAGTATGTTCATTATGTCCAGAGTTGTATATAATGTAATACTAAAATTCTGCTGTAGTTGTATATAATGTAATGCTGTACTGTTCTGTATAAATTATGTTCATTATGTCCTCAGTTGTATATAATGTAATGCTGTACTGTTCTGTATAAAGTATTTTCATAATGTTCTCAGTTGTATATAATGTAATGTAATGCTGTACTGTTCTGTATAAAGTATGTTCATTATGTCCTCAGTTGTATATAATGTAATATAATGCTCTAGTTGTATTTATAATGTAATGCTGTACTGTTCTGTATAAAGTATTTTCATAATGTTCTCAGTTGTATTGTAAATGTAATGCTGTACTGTTCTGTATTAAGTATGTTCATATGTCTTCAGTAAATGTAATGCTGTACTCTTCTGTAAAGTATGTTGTATATAAGTATGTTCATTATGTCCTCAGTTGTATATAATGTAATGCTGTACTGTTCTGTATAAAGCATGTTCATTATGTCCTCAGTTGTATATAATGTAATGTAATAAAGTAATTATGTCTGTTGTTTTGTTCTGTACTGTTCCGTAAAGTATGTTCATTATGTCCTCAGTTGTATAATGTAATGTAATGCTGTACTGTTCTGTATAAAGTATGTTCATTATGTCCTCAGTTGTATATAATGTAATGTAATGCTGTACTGTTCCTCTGTATAAAGTATGTTCATTATGTCCTCAGTTGTATATAATGTAATGCTGTACTGTTCTGTATAAAGTATGTTCATTATGTCCTTTTTGTATATAATGTAATGCTGTACTGTTCTGTATAAAGTATGTTCATTATGTCCTCAGTTGTATATAATGTAATGCTGTACTGTTCTGTATATAATGTATGGTCATTATGTTCTCAGTTGTATATAATGTAATGTATTGCTGTACTGTTCTGTATGAATTATGTTCATTATGTCCTCAGTTGTATATGATGTAATGCTGTACTGTTCTGTGTAAAGTATTTTCTTATGTTCTCAGTTGTATATAATGTAATGTAATGCTGTGCTGTTCAGTATAAAGTATGTTTATTATGTCTTCAGTTGTATTTAATGTAATGTAATGCTGTACTGTTCTGTATAAAGTATTTTGTATTTAATGTAATGTTTAATATAATGTTATACTGTTCTGTATAAAGTATGTTCATTATGTCCTTGTATAATATTGTGCTGTACTTTTCTGTATATAATGTAATGTAATGCTGTACTGTTCTGTATAAAGCATGTTCATTATGTCCACAGTTGTAATGAAATGCTGTTGTATATAATGTAATGTAATGCTGTACTGTTCTGTATACATTATGTTCATTATGTCCTCAGTTGTATATAATGTAAGGCTGTACTGTTCTGTGTAAAGTATTTTCATAATGTTCTCAGTTGTATATAATGAAATGTAATGCTGTACTGTTCTGTATAAAGTATGTTCATTATGTCTTCAGTTCTCATCTCATCTCATCTTCAACCGCTTATCCGGGGTCGGGTCGCGGGGGTAGCAGCTCTAGCAGGGGACCCCAAACTTCCCTTTCCCGGGCAACATTAGCCAGCTCTGACTGGGGAATCCCGAGGCGTTCCCAGGCCAGTGTGAGATATAATCTCTCCACCTAGTCCTGGGTCTTCCCGAGGTCTCCTCCCAGCTGGACGTGCCTGGAACACCTCTCTAGGAGGCGCCCAGGTGGCATTCGTACAAGATGCCCGAACCACCTCAACTGGCTCCTTTCTATGCAAAGGAGCAGCGGCTCTACTCCGAGTTCCTCTCGGATGACTGAGCTTCTCACCCTATCCCTAAGGGAGAGGCCAGCCACCTTCTGAGAAAACCCATTTCGCCGCTTGTACCCGCGATCTCGTTCTTTCGGTCATGACCCAGCTTTCATGACCATAGGTGAGGGTAGGAACAAAGATTGACCGGTAGATCGAGAGCTTTGCCTTCGGCTCAGCTCTCTTTTCGTCACAACGGTGCGGTGAAGCGAATGCAACACCGCCCCGCTGCTCCGATCCTCCGACCAAACTCCCGCTCCATTGTTCCCTCACTCGCGAACAAGACCCCGAGGTACTTGAACTCCTTCACTTGGAGTAAGGACTCATTCCCTACCCGGAGTAGGCACTCCACCGGTTTCCTGCTGAGAGTCATGGCCTCAGATTTAGAGGTGCTAACCTCATCCCAGCCGCTTCACACTCGGCTGCGAACCGATCCAGTGAGTGCTGAAGGTCACCGACCGATGAGGCCATCAGGACCACATCATCCGCAAAAAGCAGTGATGTGACCATCAGCCCACCGAACGGGAACCCTCCCCCCATGACTACGCCTTGATATCCTGTCCATGAATATTACAAACAGGATTGGTGACAAAGCGCAGCCCTGGCGGAGGCCAACCCCACCGGGAACGAATCCGACTTACTGCCGAGGACACGGACACAGCTCATGCTTTGAGCGTACAGAGATTGGATGGCCCTGAGAAGAGACCCCCTCACCCCATACTCCGCAGCACCTCCCACAAAGATCCCGGGTACCCGGTCATACGCCTCTCCAGATCCACAAAACACATGTAGACTGGATGGGCATACTCCCAGGCCCTCCAGGATCCTTGCGAGAGTAAAGAGCTGGTCCGTGGTTCCCGGCCAGGACGAAAACCGCATTGTTCCTCTTTTCAATCTGAGGTTCGACTATTGGCCGAACCTCCTTTCCAGCACTTTGGAGTACACTTTACCAGGGAGGCTGAGGAGTGTGATACCTCTGTAATTGGCACACACTCTCTGGTCCCCCTTTTAAAGAGGGGAACCACCACCCCGGTCTGCCACTCCTCTGGCACTGTCCCAGACTTCCATGCAATGTTGAAGAGGCGTGTCAACCAAGACAGCCCTTCCCCACCCAAAGCTTTTAGCATTTCTGGACGAATCTCATCAGTCCCTGGGGCTTTGCCACTGTGGAGTTGTTTGACTACCTCAGCGACTTCCCCAGGGAAACTGACGATGACCCTCCATCAGCCTCCAGCTCTGCCTCTGTACTAGAGGGCGTGTAGGTCGGATTCAGGAGCTCCTCAAAATGCTCTTTCCAGCGCCCGATCACATCATCAGTTGAGGTCAACAGTGTCCCATCCTTACTGTACACAGCTTGGATGGTTCCCCGTTTTCCCCTTCTGAGGTGCCGAACGGTTTTCCAGAAGCATTTTGGTGCCGACCGAAAGTCCTTCTCCATAGCTTCTCCAAACTTCTCCCACACCCGCTGCTTTGCCTCTGACACGGCAGCGGCTGCAGCCCTTCGGGCCTGTCGGGTACCCTGCAACTGCCTCCGGAGTCCCCAGGGCTAGCATATCCCTGAAGGCCTCCTTCTTCAGTCGGACAGCTTCCTGACCACCGTGGTCCACCACGGTGTTCTAGGGTTACCACCCCTTGAGGCACCTAGGACCTTGAGACCACAGCTCACCGCCGCAGCTTCAGCAATAGAAGCTTTGAACATTGCCCACTCAGGTTCAATGCCCCCAACCTCCACAGGGATGCCTGAAAAGCTCCGCCGGAGGTGTGAGTTGAAGATCTTTCGGACAGGGCCTCCTCCAGACGTTCCCAGTTCACCCGCACCACCCGCTTGGGCTTACCTGGTCTGTCCAAAGTCTTTCCCCACCCTCTGATCCAACTCACTACCAGATGGTGATCAGTTGACAGCTCTGCCCCTCTCTTCACCCGAGTGTCCAAAACATGCGGCCTTAGATCAGCCGATACGATCACAAAATCGATCATTGACCTTCGGGGCTCGTGAGTATCCCCACACCAGCCCGCCGCCTCTCACCCTGGGCAACTCCAGAGAAGAACAGAGTCCAACCCCTATCCAGGGTAAGGTTCCAGAGCCACGGTTGTGCGTAGAGGTAAGTCCCACCAGATCCAACTGGTATCGCTCCACCTCACGCACAAGTTCTGGCTCCTTCCCCAGTGAGGTGACGTTCCACGTCCCCAAAGCAAGCTTCTGCCGCCCGGGTCTGATCCGTCGAGACCCCACCTTCACTGCACCCATATGACAGCGCACCCGACCCTGCGGTTGTTCCTGTGAGTGGTGGGCCCACAGGATGGAGAGGAGAGAGATGCCACGTATCTCGCTCGGGCTGTGCCCGGCCGGGCTCCGTGGCAAACCCGGCCACCAGACGCCGCGAGCCCGCCGCCTGGGCCTGGCTCCAGACGAGGGCCCTGGGCTTCCTCCAGGCAGGGTCTCGCTCCTTTTCCCCTCGATCTTTCATGGGGTCTTGGTGAACCATTCTTAGTCTGGCCCTCGCCTGAGACCACTTTGCCTTGGGAAACCCTACCAGGAGCATGAAGCTCCAGACAACCCAGCCCTCAGGTTCATAGGGGCACACAAACCTCTCCACCACGTTAAGGTGATGATTCCCGGGAGCGCCATCAGTGCTTTTCAATCTAATAGCTTCTCGTTTCAAATCAACACAGATGCATTAACATTCCCGCTCAAAATGACTTAACGTCAAATGTTTTTGTGTCCTCAGCATTACATTGAAAAGTTTCTGAGCACATTGAACAGGTTCTGAGCACATTGAACAGGTTTGGAACACCTCATTTTTTAATTGTCAATTCAATGAAAATGCAAACACTATTCATGTCATTCAATGGCGATGTGACTATGCTTCTAACAATCATTTAAACAGCCCTTAGCCAAAAAGTTATATACTGCTTTGAATCTTGAGGCATTTTAACCAATGGCCATTGGATGCACCTGGCTCCAGAGGCTGTGGAACTTCACAGCAGATAGCCTGGACCAAGAAATATGTGGACTTTCATTCACAGTTAGCGCGAACACAGATTTTGTCAAATGTTCAAAAATGGACAAGGCATCTATTGTTAAAATGTCCCTTGCTCAATTTCTTTCATCAGGTCTGGCTGGTTAGCTCAGTTGGTCAAAGTGTCGTGGCTAATAACGTGAAAGTCTGGTTCGATGCCCGCACTGCCATCAGTGTTTTTCCATCTAATAGCTTCGTTCAAATCAACACAGATGCATTAACATTCCCGCTCAAAATGACTTAACGTCAAATGTTTTTGTGTCCCTCAGCATTACATTGAAAAGTTTCTGAGCACATTGAACAGGTTTGGAACACCTCATTTTTTAATTGTCAATTCAATGAAAATGCAAACACTATTCATGTCATTCAATGGCGATGACTATGCCGAACAATCATTTAACAGCGTCCTTACCAAAAAGTTATATACTCAAGCGGAATCTTGAGGCATTTTAACCAATGGCCATTGGATGCACCTGGCTCCAGAGGCTGAACTTCACAGCAGATAGCCTGACCAAGAAATATGTGGACTTTCATTCACAGTTAGCGCGAACACAGATTTTGTCAAATGTTCAAAAATGGACAAGGCATCTATTGTTAAATGTCCC